AAAATAGACAAATATTATCTAGACTTGTACGTTTGTATTTTTTCACATTAGGCTCATTCATATGTAGAAAAAATTGGTCTAATTACAATGGTAAATATTCATCAATTAGCTGTTGATGAATATTATTCATTACATGGAAGAACAATTGATGAATGTCTATAAGTTGATAAACAACAAGGTTTAATTTCATTTTTTTTGTTTGTAATTTTTTTATGTAGGTATATTTCAGGATTCTTGATTTTTTGTTTTTTTTATTAAAATAGGTATGTGGTACATTAGGTATAACATCAAGTTGTTCAATAGATAATTTTGAAAAACTTAGAAAAATTTATCAATATGAAAAACTTTGCTCTCATGTAGATGGAGCTTATGTTGGTGCTGCACGTATGTGTGAAGAATTTCAATATTGAATAAAAGAATATCAAGTAAATCGATTTTATTTTTCATATAAATTGTTAATTATTTGTTCTTTGACTATATTGATTTATTTAATACAAATCCAAATAAATGGCTTTTAATGAATTTTGATTGTCCATGTTTTTGGTAAGATTTTTTTGCCGATTCGCTTAGTTTATTTTGTTATCTTTTCAGTTAATATCAGGGCTCATGATAAGTTTGTAGTGATGAATACTATTGCAGTCAACCTAGTTTTTCTTCAACATAAAAATGTTGAAAAAGCAACAGATTTATGAATAAATATCTACAAAAATAAAGATTATATTTATTTTATTGAAAATCTATTTAGCATTGGAGTATTGCATTTCGATTACTTAAATTCTGGTTAACTATTCGAAGTTATAGTTAAGAAAGTCTTCATCATTATATAAGAGAAGTATGTTAATTAATCATTTAGTAAAATGAATTCTATGATTGTATTGTTGTTAGACAAAAATATTTGTTGAATTATTAAAAACAGACGATCGGCTTGAAATAATCGAAGATGTTCTATATGGACTTTTTTATTTTCATTTGAAAGTATGTCAGTTTAATTTCTCATGAGAAAAACAATAATTCTATGAATGCAGATGATTTATCTAGAGGAAAAAAATATATTGACTGAAAATTATTATAAAGTTTAAATGATTTAGGTCAAATACATGTTGTATTATCAATACTCAATGATATATTTATAATTCGTTTTGTTGTTTGTACTAAAGATGCATTGAAATATGATATGTACATTGCATTTCAAATAATTCAAACATGTGCAGATGGAATTATAATTGAATATAACAAGGACTTATCACTAATAATAATAAAACAATGATGAATTTCTAATTTTGTATCTTTTTTTTTTCTTTATTCTTTTATGGTGCAGATAGTTCGAATCAAAAAAAACCTGTCACATAATTTTCTGCGTCGTATATTTATATCTATTAATTTCTTTCTTATCTGATTAATTTATGATTAGTTCTAAATAAAATTTCGTTTCTCATCAAGAAAAAAAAGAATGTTGATATATTTACATTATCTTTTTTGTGTTAAGAAAATTGAGAGTATACAATAATAATCTAAGAGATGACGTTGTTTTGAGTGACAAATGAGAATAACGAAGTCTGAAGATTGACTGTGTCAACGCATTGAAGATTTGATGATGATGATAACACTAAATGCCTGCATGCTAATGAGATGTCAAAGTCAAGTATACATATGAAAAAAAAAAAAAGTTCTCTTTATAAAAACAACAACAAGAATAATTTAACCATTATAAAGAAGCACAAGTTTTTTTTTTATTGATTCATATCATTAAAACTAACTTTGCGTTGTACAGTAGAATTTTTATCATCAGCAACATAAGATATGTCATTTTGACTATTAGCTGCATAGCTTAGTCCACCTTCTGTATTTCGAAAACTGTGACTTGATATGCTTGTAACGCCTAGACCATTTGTTTGACTTGTACAAGAATTTCTATAACGACCCTGATGATTTGGCTGTTGAATTTGTAAATATTTTGCATGTAATGCTGTTGTTTTCATTGGATGTTGATTTTTTCTATGACTAATAGCTGGTGACACACTGGCAGATGATGAACGAAAACGTTTTTGATCTTGATAGTCTACAAATGCTTGACGTAATTGTTGAGGTGTTGATGTTATACGTTGATTAACAGCATTTATTACATCAGTATGTAGCATTGTTGCTAAACTTGGTTTTCCTTGAAAACCTGTTGTTTTAATTAGTGTATGACGAAATTCTGTACCGGATAAACAATAACTAAGAATACTTGCATAATTAAAATACATTAAAATATTATAGATTGTCCATTGTATACGTCGACAACGCATTACATCAATTGATGCTTTATGTGAAAGTAAATCAATAATAAATGCAGTTACTGGTAAAGTTGTTGCAACAAATACAAATGATGAACATATCATTATTAAACATAATGAACGTAAACGATTTGTTGCTTTGGAACGGCTAACGACTTCACTTTTGTTACCCGGACCAGATACAAGAAAAACACGATTAATAACAGTTAAATTACATAAAATAATAAATATAAAAGGGATTATTGTAACAAGAAACATATCAATCCATGTATAGATTTGTTCGAAAAAGTGTACATAACTTGGATGTAAATAACATCGTTGATATTGGAATGGATTAACAGTGGAGAGTGTAGAATTGAGATTATTTAAATTTTTAATATGATCATCACCTTGAACAAATATTAATAAATGTATATTACATAAAGATATAACAGTGAATACAATGGTTGAATTAATTGATGCTTGTCGTGTACGACACCA